AAGACCAACAGGTTTCATGTGGATAAACTCAGAGGAGGCAGATTCAAACAGCCAAGTAGTTTTAAATATGTGTGCTACACTCAACCAAAAAAGAAAGCCCCCTCCCCCCAAGTTCCAATACTTTTTGTCAAACTCCATAACTACTGAGCACCTATCACTCAAATAACGACTAATCAGTACTTACAGAAATTCCTTAGCAACTCAGCCATACTCTTCATTTGGCCCAAAACAGTGATAATGTTTACGAATTTATGTAATTTATGACAAATGGTACCGAAAACAGCTGCACTTTTGTGTACGTGCAAGTTGTGGTTCACACTCACCTTGCACGTATACAAACATGACAAAAGTGCAACTTTTTTTCGGTGCCATTTGTCATAAATTGCATAATTTTGTACACATTATCACTGTTTTGAGCCAAACAAAGAGTATGGCTGGATTGCTAAGGAATTTCTGTACTGATCAGTCGTAATTTGAGCAAGATGTGCCCAGTAGTTTTGGAGTTAGACAATAAAGTATTAAGGGGGGGACTTTCTTTTTTGGTTGAGTGTAGGATACATGCATGTAGTTTACACTATTATAGCTGTGTCCGCATTGGACTTTTTTTTTGCAAAACGTACGGAGACTGTTGTCACCTTGACCAAATTACACGTAAGTCCAGTACGGCCAACTGGTAAACTTTCCAAATTGTTGAATGTTGATCGACGGTTGTTAGTTCATCCCTCCGTTTTTTACACGTAAAATATTTCCCAAACTGACATTGCATACATTTATAACTGGACACCTAATGCACCAAAAAAAGCTTTTGTTTTGGTTTAGTCAGGGTTCAAATATAGCAGAAACAATACCTTAATGTGGATGTAACGGTGTCAAAATCACTAACGGAAGTGTGACATTTGGGGTTGACACGGTGTCAATGTTACCGGTACGTCCACAACCATGAACCAAGCTATCATTTCTGCTCCATTTGATACCTGACTAGTGACTACCATAACAAAAGCTTTTCTTAGTGTGTTGCACGTATAGTAAGAAGTACATAAAGTGAATTTGGGTAATGTTTCACAGAAATTTTAGAAAGGTACAAATATAATATCTTGACGTAACAGGATTGATACGGTGTCAATGTTACGTCTTAATGACATTTTTGCTCATATTTTTGGCAAAATACTTTCAAATAATTTAAAACTTTCTGCAGTAGTCAAACACCCAACAACAACTATTATGTAGAGCAACTGCAAGCAAGGCATTCATACTTCTTATAATATGGTCATATGTGACACATTGTGTCCCAACCCGGTGGAGTGACCCATGTACCGGTAGGCCTATACACATGTATACGAAGTTGGTCTTGAATCTTGAATTCATTTTCACATTGATTCCCATGCACAAAACATTCTCACAAACACTAGAATCTTTTTATTTTTATTTTCCTCTCTCTTGGTCTTGAAAAACACTGATATAAAGTACAAAACCAATTTCATACCGGGTATTGGCTGATAATGATACTCCCTTAGTTTGTATAGCATGCACAGAGGTGTGCCACATGTGATCCACAGGGCACAGGCAAACCCCATCCCCACCCCGGCCCAACAGTTTTCCTCGCATTGCCTGGAATCATATTCATCAACATACAATGCCTCTATATGAAATTAACTGCAATGCCCTCTGTCAATACTTCAAGGACAAAGGGGGGGGGGGGGGAGGAGCTGAATTTCATACATCATTCAATCATCTCTTTGTGCAGGTCATATCCTGGGATTGGATAGGATTTTATTTCAGGTATATTGTGGCCTATTAACAGCAAATGATACCGGTATCAATACAGTAACAGTAAAATTACGAAAAAATACAGACAGAAAATAAATGTACCAAAATATTGCACTGTGAGATAAATCACAAGGAAACACTTCACACCACTAAAAAAAACCCACATTCTTAAAAGTGTAAGTGTACTAAGATGGGTGTATACATGTGTACAAGGCTAATCTTTGGATTGTAAGTATTTTTGGCTCATTGCTATGATTTTTTCTGGACCAAAATTTAGTGACAAAAGACATCTTTTATTAGTTAGTTTAAACACTCACAGGACAATGACTTCCACAACATAGCCAAAGCAGAGAATGGAAAAATAAGATTTCGATCAATGTAATTATGAACAGTATCCTGTAAATTTGACAAATATTGGGATCCACTATTTAGTGGGAGGGTGAGTTTGTCTTCCACTACTGAAAAAGTACTAGAGTACATAGTTGTAACCACATCAAAATTGGAACAATTTTCCCAGCCCGAGCTGACAAATGATTCGGAGAAATTTACTTTCTGAATATTTGTTTGAAGTGTATACATGTATGTAGCATCCTAGGGTTGGGAAGACTGTAGTATTCTGACGTTACTTTTTAGTAAAAGAAAAATCTTCAGCTTAACTCTCAGACTATAATAACCTTATTAAACTGTAAGATAGGCCTATGTCTCAGATTTTTATTGGAAATTCATAAATATTTACTATCTGGTCGAGAACCCGTCACGTGGGTGGTTTTTAACGGTTGATAAAGCAACAAACACTTTTTTCCGGTGTCACATGAATTTGGACTCCCTTTTCTGGTCCCTTTTATAATTTGATTGAACGTTCACAATCGTCACTAAGAATGTAGGCATGTGCAATAGGCCTACTACAGTACCAAAGAGTTCGTATTTCATACTGTAGAGTCATAAAATTAAAAGCTAAATTCACACTACACTGGCACAGCCGCATTCTGCGCCACATCATGCAGTACCAGAGGCACATGCCATCTGGGGGGGGGGGGGGGGTTGCAAAACATGAAATAAAATTGTTGAACAAAATCATTGGTATTTATTATGTTTGACTTGTTTTGACTTTTTGACCAAAAGGTATTTTTGAATGGGAATAATGTGCTTGGCCGGTATTAAACAAGTATGTTTAAAGGGAATGTACATGATTGGCTTTTGCTGTAATTTTTCGGAAATGAACTATTTGAGGGGTTAGTATAATAGATCAAATAGGTTGTTACACTGACATGTTTGAAGTTTTGTGTTCAAAAATGCTGGAAAAACCAAGAAAAATAAAAATGTTCAAGTAGTCTGGTTCCCTGACTCCACTAATGATGAAATGGATCAATTTATAGATGCTGGAAAATTGTAAGTTAAGGGAACCAGTCTAGCTGGCCTGCACCCGTTCACGAACATGTAACCAATAGCAAACTAAATTTGGACTGAAAAAAATGGTAAATTTGGAGCAGTAGTTGAAAAATAGTTAGGTTTTTCCAACGGTGGTCGGCCGACCACTGTTAGAAATTTATACAAAATACCACTTTTCTTGAAAATGACTTCACACCAGGTGCCAAAATTTTACAGGATGCTTTAGACTGGCATTTATCAACATCCTACAATGTAGTAAGGTATTTCGTAAAAATGTGTAAGTTTTGTTTTTCGATGCTTGCAAATGTTGTAGCCTATATTCCCATCAAAACCGGTTCAGGGCCTGGATGCAGTTGACCCTCGCCTTCAGATCCGTGTCCAGGCCCCAAGTAGGTTTGAATTGTACTTGTCCTTAATAATATATTGTCAAGATAGTGAAGTTTGCCATAAATCGATTTGAAAGCGGCCTGCTAGTGCCACAATGAAAGGACATGGCCTGTCACAACACAGCCTCTTTTAAATTGATGTAAATGTGGAAAAATGGCAATATCGCAGCAATACGTTTCCTCTGAAATTTTCTTAGTAATAGGAAAACGTTATTGCATAGATCAGAAACAAAGCTGAACATTTTGTTATTTATTCATGGCATCAGGGTCGTATTTAGTGCAATTTATTTTAAAATATTGTGTAGTGCAGTGGCTTTATCCGAAAAAATTCAATACCTGGACAATAGGTCAAATGTTGCAGGGAAAATTTAGTGACGTGTCCATGTATGGAATTCCTTCTGCTTTATCACATAAAACTTACATTGTTACAATGTACTGCATCATCATCATATTTATGTGTAACCTGGTAACTGTGCATTTCAAAATATTGAATGGCTCAGAAACGTACATGTATTCATGTTATTGACAAATGTTGTTTTTAACTACAACCAGTAACATACATAATGTAATTAACAAAGGTAAAAAAAAACGGTTTACAATTAAAAAAACACATTAATTTAAAGAGAATTCCAAACAACTTTAATATAATTATTATATTGTAATAAAAGTGAATTACACTGTAAAATATAAATTAAGTAATCAAATGGAAAACATGTTGCAACCTGACGCCACTTCCGCGATTGTGTACAAAGTCTATGGAGAGTCAAGAAAATGTCCAAGTATTTCCTAACAAAATTGGAAATGTTTCTCAGTCCCAGATTCATGTCTTATCATCATTTTTGCAATGACTGACCTTCATTGAGATGAAATATGAAGAAAAAAGTGGTGTCAGGTTGCAACATTTTTTCCAATCAAACAATGTTATGATAATTAATGACTTGGAATGTTGGATGATTTTATATGAGTACCGGTAGCTGATATTTTGTATGTACTTCTGTACAAAAGAAATGAAGATCGTGTATACTGCATCTTCTTTTACTTTAAATATAAAAAAAAAAATTAGGCCTACCACACTGACATGACTGAGCCAGCAGCAGGATATCTCAGTTTTGACAAGATGAACCCTTTGACTAGTACATGTACATGTACAGTGTGACAAGCATGACAAGCAAAGCTGTCATTACAATCAAACTAGAAAACTGCATTTGCTCAGCCAATCGCATTAAATCATAATTGACCACCGTGTCAGAAAAAGGTCCAACCATTCGGTCAGCGGCGGCCCTGACCGCTCAATGGGTACGATGGGTCAATACGGGGACCAGCACGGTACAGTTTGTGGTTTGTTCTACACAGATAAACATCAAGCAACGCCGCATTCACTCGGCTCCGTTAACCATTCCAGTCCCTTTCCCCCAACTCTTTGACAGTAAAACACGAATCGTGTACAGACAAACTTACCACTTAAATTCTCAGAAGTTACACTGGATCCTATCCCTGCGTTCTAGCCGACTTGGAACTTCGATTGGAAGTCACGATCGCCGAACACTGACGTCCAAATTGGCAGCATTTTACGATCGAATAATCACTTGCGATCGTTTAGTTTCAATGCTTACTTACATAGTAGGTGCACGTTGTATGCGTTGGTACATGGTATGGTACGGTACGGCCGTACGCATGATTGCAACACAATGCACAGGCATTCCGCTATTTATCGCGCTGAGTAACTATTAGACTGGCCAAACAAGTCTCGCTTGTACTTATTTTTAATCACTGCCTACAGAAACATACCTGAAGTAGTTTCCCAAAGGCGCTTACAGAAGTAAAGATAATATAAGTAATTATTATTATGTTAATATGACTTCCAAATATCTTCCAAAAATTACAAACTCCATTTTATAGCGTACTTGTTCCTTCAAGGACCGACTTGTGGAAGTTTAGTAACTTGACTGGTTGTTGACCTGCGTTCCGAATGAGTGGTCTCACCATGCATCAATTTATCGGGGGTGGGCTTCTTCCAACAGAGGGCGCTATCAAAAAATTAAGAGTGTACGATTTGGACAGTTGTTTCATTTAGTGAAAAGTCATAGAACAGGCATGCGGAAGTTATTAGGCTATATTAAACATTTATTACATAGCTTTATATTTTATTTTGCGGGGAAAAAGTTGTTTTCAGAGAAGTGGCGATTAACTTCTCTTTAAGTTGATAGTTCAATGTTCCGCTGAAAAGAATATTCATTAAATGGATTTCCCTATGCTAACGAGTCAGGCAAGAAAATTGAATTGCGAACGAAAACAGACAGCAAACTTTGACAAAGTATATACACAACAAAAATATTGTTTTCGTTTTGTGCTTTGGTTTGAATCAAGAGCGGGACCCTCGTAGTTCAAAAATTGAAAACTTTTTTATTTTTGTATTCGTGGGGCGAATTGATAAACTTGTTTTATTGTAAAGACCATCACACCTTTGCTTTAAAACCCAATGTTTTCGGGGACATTCACACACAGCTTACTTCAAAATACACTACTAATATCGTAAATACAAACTCACGGTAAAACCCTACGTGCACTGTTTACCAAAATATCAGACAAAAATAGATATTAGGCCTTTAAGTAAATCTTAGTTAATTTTCATCCTGGATTTAAATCCAATAGCATTAATTCTAAGTCATAATCATTTTATGATATCAAGCTTAATGCTATAGATTATGATGTTGTGTCACCTTGTTCTAAGGACGCCGGAGGTGTATATAAGCGTTTCGCTGTTAGGAAAATCAACAATTTTAATCCTGAAATTGTCCCAGCTCGCCACAACACTCCAAGGATGTGGAAACTCGTTCATTTATTGCTTTTTGCGGCTCACGTCGTCTCGGGTAAGTCAATCCAAAAAAATAATCTTGAAAAGTTTATTATTATATTATCATAATCATTTTTTTTTGGCACACGTTAAGAAAAGCGAGCAGCCTAGGGGAACTTGAAACCTTGGAGTAAAAGAAATTACTCGTCACTGGCGCAGCTGGTATCATGCCAAGCAGTTTTCGAATACCGTAATTTTCGGAATATAAGCCGCGGCTTATACGTTGAATTTGCCCATGAAAATGTTTACTGCAGCTTATACACAGGGCGGCTTATACACCGAGCCGTGAAGAATAAAAATGATATTCAAATGTATATTTAATGTGCTGGTATAAGGAAAGATCTGTTGCTGAAATGAACCATCAATTAAGAAAGTCATAATACAAACCGAAAGCACGTCCAACGAAAAGGTACCGAGCGGTAAAAAGTACGGCTAGCTAGCGAAAGCTGTCTCTTTGACATCGACATCGACAACCGGCCGTACGTGATTCTAGTGCTGCATGCATGCTGCATGCCTTTCCCATGGACCACACCGTTTGTTGTAATAAAGGGGTGTACTTTCTTGGGAACAATAATTACCAATATTTTTGCTGTTTAAAAACAGAAAAAAAGATAACTAATACTTTTTATGGAGTTCCAAATATTTCTCTATTCAAAAATCAGTTGTTCAATGTCACAATATAATTTTTTTCTTGAAATGTATTCAAGAAACGATGTAAAACTCAAAGCAGGGGCTAAAAATCACCCCTTACGAAATGAATGGATTCGTCCATAAAATTTTTAGCATCGTGTTGACTATTTTCGAAGAAAGTTATGATCGCAACTTGAATTTTGACGTTAGTAATCACAACAATTTGATACGTTTTGTTGTAAAAACGGACCTGTTTATTCTTAGGACAAAACAAATCAGCATCTGTTGCCACAAAGCAGCATTTGTAGCCTCCAGTCAGACGACACACGGTGGGTTACACATATCTCAAGTGCTGGGGGAAAATGTTATCATTTGCCGGCGCTAGCTGCTGGGCCATGCGCTTACGTTTTAGGCCGGGGACCGGACGGGGCAGCCGGCAGTAATTCCTGGTGTTTATTTCTCATCATCAATTTCCATATTTGTTTGTATTATTGTAAGAGTATCAACTGTGAATGATTTGATATAACTTTTGTGGCCCTTTTTATAGCTTTCGTAGTGTAAATGGAACTGGTTCAGAGCATTTTGACTAGAATTTGGAGGCCCTACAAAATTGAAACCACTGCGGTCGGTGCGGCTTATACGCCGGTGCGGCTTATACGCCGACTTCAAATCTTAATTTGCAGATTTTTGCGTACTGCGGCTTATACGCCGCGCGGCTTATATTCCGAAAATTACGGTAATTGCCGTTTTCTAATGTGATGTCCCATGACATAATTCTATTTTAGTAAAGCCCTCGGGATATGTTACGGGGGAAAAGAGACAAGGTGACTGTGCACTTGATTAGCGCGGCTCGCCATGCAAAATTAAAACTCTTATGTTATAATAATACATTGTATTCCGATTTCCGAGACCGTTTTATAAATTGTTTAATGTTGCATGATCTTTTACTCTTACTTGTTATTAACACTTAAGGGAAGATACAACATTTGCCAACATCAAAAAACGAAATGATCAAATTATAACGAAATATCTTACTCGATTGTAAGTGATTGACAGTCTATTAAGCATCCTGTGAAATCTTGGCTCCTGGTATGCTGACATTTTCAAGAAAACTTGTATTTTTCCGACACTGGTCGGCCGACCATCGTTGGAGAAAACTGACATTTTGTCAAAAAGTGCTCCCAACTTTTCATATTTAGTTATTCCGCATTTTCTTTGCAATTGATAACACATGTGTGAAGGCCTGCTAGACTGATTCTCTGACCTTACAATTCCCCTAATTCTATAAGTTGCAACGTCTCATCTTAAGTTGGGTCAGGGAACCAGACTACAAGAACATGGTTGGTTTTCTTAGATTTCCCAGCATCTCCGTCCCAAAACGTGAAACGAGTCAGTTTAACAATATTTTCTATAGCATACTAATCCTCCAAATCCATTTATTTTTTTAAAATTGCAGCAAAAGCAAATGTTGTATATTCCCTTTAATTCCACATTGTCTTCCTATTGAATTATTTGAAATTGCATAAAAGGAACTATACACCCTACTCTCGTTCAAGCAATCATTGTTTTCGTTAGAATTGATGAATTTCAAAATTAGCAGCCAAACCGAGGTTCTCCAGCCTAAGAGTCACTGTGAGACATTAGGGACCACTTTAACTTTTAATCTTCTCTGCTGAACGTGCACTAGAGCCCTCGCTTTGAACTGAATGTAGACATTACTTTAAGAAACAGCTGAAGTTGTATGCTCATCATCAATTATAATTATATGGCCTACTATTAGGTTGAACGGATTTTGGGGTTTCAATTTTTTTCATTTAATAATAATGCCTTTGAAAGGTCTTAAGTTTAGGCAATTCTCGACATTGGACAATAATGCAGTTCAGTCATCAATTTTTTGGGGTGCCAAGGCAAAAACAACATACCAAAAGAATACAGAAATGCAGATAGATTTGTTGTAACTTAAAAAAAAAAAAAAAGAATAACAAAAATAAAATTATGGGAAATGCCAAAGCTTGAGCCTCAAGTTACTTCAGCACCCTCAGTTTAAAGGATAAATCGCGCGGGTGACGGGCTTTATTTTTGGATTCTATTCCAGGCGGTCTTTTCGACAAAGACGACGCCGCTGAGGATGAGGTATGCTACGGGGACCTCGGGTGCTTCAGCACCGCCTACCCCTTCCTGGACCCGCCGTATCGCGGTGTCAGCGTCTTGCCGGAATCACCCGAAGCCATCGCTACCACCTTCCATCTCAATACTCGCAAGAATCCCTCGGTGGCACAGGTAGGTGGGCTTAAAAGATCAATACCCAAAATGATCATCACCTGAAATGTATGCACTATTACACCCATCACGAACAAAAACATCTTCGATGCATTGGGAAGATTAGTTGCACTTTCTGGCAAAATCTTAGCCCGAAAATGCTCAGAATGGAAACAAATGAATGCGTCGATGAGGACAGCAAACAGAAATAGCGTTCCATTTTTGTCAAACATTTTCCGAGTTTCCTATGTTCAAGTTTACTCCATTATCTATATCTGAAGAGCCAGGCCTCGAGTGCAAGTGGTCTGTCATCCGAGGGCGCACTACTTTATAAACCGACAGGTTCTGAAAATGAGCCGTGCAGCGGCCGATCCAGAATATCGAATAATAACGTCTAAATTTAACCAAGACTAGGCCTCGATCAACTGTGTTTAGTTGCGGTTGCGCAGTGGCGTTACCAAGGTCAAACTTAAAAGGGAGGGGTTACTTGGGGATCTTAATTTTCTGGAGGGGCACTCAGTGCATGGATTTGGCAATGATTATTGTTGGAGAAGTATGCATAAAAAAATTGCCTTATAATCGCTTTTATAAGCTTCAATGGGGGGGGGGGGGGTTCGGGGGAGACCCCTAGAGCGCGTTGGAGGGCTTTGCGCCTTCGTTACTCGCGATTGATGACTGCACTCGGTTCACGGTCTGTTCTACCCCCTCCCCAATAAAAAAAAAATAAAGGGACAACGCCCACTTTAGGATCAATACATACTGATACTGTTCTATCATCATGGTCCACTACACTTACTGTCTGACATGCTTTAAAATGTCAAACAATTATTGTTTTTGTTAATTCTCTTGCAAATTCTTCAATAAAAGTCCAACCCAATTGCTCGGATTGACAAACGACGGCATTGAGGTAATCCCATACCAATCGTCCGGCAGATTATACATCGTTGCGCGCCTCCCCCGCCAATATTCCACGGTGTACTGATTTTGAACGTCAAACTACTTTCTATATCCGAAGCATGGGGGAGTTAAGTGATCTTGATCAAGTTGCCTTTGATTAATCCCCTCTGCATTCAGATTTTGTTAAACAAGGACAACACATCCCTTTTGAGCTCCTACTTCGATCCTACCAGAGAAACCAAGATCATCTGCCACGGTTTCACGGAGAACGGCGACAAGCAGTGGGTGGTGGACATGGCTATGGCCCTGCTCAACTACGGCGACTACAACGTGATCAGGACCAACTGGAACGAAGGATCCCTGGCGCTGTATTCAAAGAGTGTGGCCAACACGAGGGTAGTTGGAGCCGAGATATCGCTGCTCATCGACAGAATCAAGGTGGGTTCAAGGGCGGATCCAGGGGGGGGGGGCCAAAGGGGGCCATGGCCCCCCCCCCCCAAAACGAAACCAATTTTTTTTTTTTTTATGTGACATCGCAATAAAGGCAGGCAATGAGTACACCACCATCTTTTCCTCAAAAAAACATTGGTTAAAGTGGTCAGAAATTGCCTCAGATCGCACCACAGAGCTTCTAGAATCCAAAAAATTTTCGGGGCCCTTAAGCGGGCCCCGAACCCCACGCCGTAATTTTTTTTAACCACTTTTTGGGGGGACCAAAAATTTTGTTGGCCCCCCCCCCCCAAAATTGTGTTCTGGATCCGCCCTTGGGTGGGTTTAATGCTGTTGGTGCCCCTTTGATAATGTCATCGCGACTCGGGCATCATCTCGATGTTTGGGCGAGCGAGGAAGCCACGAGATGAATTGAGCAGAGACTAATCACGTTGAATAACCGCCCGCTAAGTTTTGTTCTGCAACCGGTCAAGTTAGCTGACATAATACGCATGCGTAAAGCATTTTTTTTTTAGGAACACCCTAGCTTCGAATCTCTCGAACCTTTTCCCCTCCTGATCCTGCCCCGTTTTATCAAGTCCTGACTTTCAATAAAATATACTTCACATTTTTCCCCTTCTGTTTCATGGCTCCAGAGGAATTCCCTCTAAATAAGGGGATGAATTAACAACAGACATCTATGGTGACGCATGCGTTTTATGGTCAGTGCCTTGGTTGCCCAAAAAAAATATTGAGGGCGGTGGTTACAAGAGACCACTGACGAAGTGACTGTAGTCTCCGCTCGATTCGCCCCTTGATTAATGTCCATTCAAAGTCACCATAGCCTCTTCAAAAAGCGATACATTTCAACTTCTATGAATGTTTGTATTTCATTTGACTGTAAAAAAATAAAGGAATGAAGAGAGCTCGGGCCTAAAATATTAAATACGAGGCATAACAGGCCAAGTAATAAATCATTATTTTCTCCCATTGCATTCCAGGCGTTGTACAATATCAACGGACAATCGATCCACCTGATCGGGCACAGCCTGGGCGGGCATGTCATGGGCTACGCTGGGGAAAGACAAGGGGACATTGGACGCATCACCGGTGAGCCTAGCTAGAAAAGATAATTGGTTTTAAATAAAACAAGCTTTTCATGAAAACAATCGATGCTGGAACGGGAAAAAAAATATTGGAAAATAGACAATGTAAAACTGACGAAGTCAGATTTGTTTGTTTTAAGATTTATGTTGAAACTCTGGAGAAACAATAATACAGATTTAGATTTAGGTTTTCAAACCCTTTTTTGTCTCCGATATTATAAGAAAACGGCATCATCCTGCACTCTCGTGTTCTTAAAGACTAACTTCAATGATGGAAACGAAATAACACTGTACTCTACTTAAGAACAATATAGGGGCACGCATCCACAATTTTTATTGGAAAAAGAAAATATAAGGAATCGTTTTGACATGCATGTTTGTTCTAATTTTTCGCATTTGACAGTTGGTGGCGCTTTAGGGGTTTCATATCAAGATGATGACGTAAGATTGGAGAAATCTCCAATTCGTCAAAAGTTCTTTTTGAAAAATCCTACGATTTCAAGGGAAATTGACGGTGAAAATGAAGCTACGAAGACACGCTCCTTTTAGAAAATGAGTGCCTGCGATCTAATGTGTGCGTCCAGTTTTGATGATGCCAGAGGGCAAGCCTGTCCTCTCTGTAAAACAATATTTCACTGGCTCAATCAATGACTGTGTCTTTGTGTCTGGTTACCTACCTCACATTGACCGACTGTCATCCACTTGTGACTCAGACTGGTCGTAGACTGGTGAATAGAGTCGGGCAGTGCTATCGTATAGGATTACTCTGTAGCTACAGTGAATGGGCTAAACAAGGCCCAGCCCCAGTCATGCAAAGATTATTCCCAGCGAATGGCCATTCTGATTCAATCGAATGGAATTTTTTGCCTTCTGTGACCACTGGGCTTGCCCTGATTTCACCGATTCCATAGCATACCACTTTAGTGAACCATGCTAATAATTATGTTTGAGGTAACTGTTTTAAAGCTGTGTTTCTTCTCTTGTTGGAAGTGATCTTGGACGATGCATGTTCCATTAGCAATTTTGCCCTTTACACCGAGTTTCTTTTCCGGTCAGGGTTGGACCCAGCTGGACCGTATTATGAGGCCACGGACCCGCGTGTTCGCCTGGACGAGACGGACGCACAATTCGTCGACGTCATCCACACTAATGTCAACCCGATCTGGACCCTGGGTAAGTCCACACAACCCATCACCATCCATACCCTCCGCTCCATTAGTCCCATTAGTCCGACGCCTCGTTATAGGTCCGACGCCTCATAAGTCCGACGCCTCATAGGTCCGGCTTCTCATAGATCCGACGCCTCGTAGGTCCGACAATTAATAAATACATTTTTGTAAATTCCTTTTTATGCCTCATAAGTCCGACGTCTCATAAGTCCCAAATAGCGGACAAATGAGGCGTCGGACCTATGAGGATACGGCCCAAGTCAACTAACAAGTTACGAAATGAACTGCGCCAAAGGTTTTCCTTTCTTGTTATTCATCCGCTAACTGGACTTTGTAAATTGACCTGTTATCTAAGTAGAGACATGTGGGGGTGTATGTGTGTTTGTGATCCATCGCAAGGCTTTGGTCCCCAATATGTTCATAGAGTGTTGAGGAAATTCCCTTGTTTGCTTTCTTACAAGTCAAGCTTAGAGAGATTTGTTCTTTTCCTCCATTCTTAAGGCATGGGCATCTACCAGCCATCTGGGCACTTGGACTTCTACGTGAATGGCGGAGATGACCAGACGGGCTGTGACCAATCAGTGACCCAGGATATCATCTCGGAGGGTGGTTTCATTGACGGTATATGCGTTTTGTGTAGTTTGCATTCTAGACCAGGTGGCCCCCTTCAATGGCGAAAGCATTGTGCCAGCTATTGTACAAAGCATCTGCCCCGTTAAAGATTATCTGAACAATAACCCGTGTACTCTGTGAAGCCATACCAGCTGCTGGCAACCGATGAGCAACCGACGGGTACCGGTATTAAACCAAATTAAGCATCTTTTGCATGTTATTTTGCCCACATTTCATACAGTTTACGTCAACACTTTTATACCAATCACAGTTCAAGATATAAACATGCAGTGCAAAAGAGAACAGTTTGCTGAAAGTTAAAATAATAGGCCTATGACCACAAAACGTTTAATTTGCAAACAAAATAATGCAACATGGTCTATAGCTTTCGCCATTCAAAGGGGCACCCATAATGAGTGGGTTTGTAATCCATTCAGACTGAGGACTTGGGATGGGGTCCAGGTCCTCGGGAGAATTCGTGAACAAACCTTATGGGAGCTGTCGAGAAAAAGTTAAGAGTACAAACAAAAGGAACAAAAGAAGGAGAGGATCAGGTCCTCATGAGTATAAACGAGCTGGGTGTACAGATGTGCATGTGTTCGAACTAGTGTATAAACAAGTCAACAAACAAGATCAAGCACAACGTGTTTTTTTTCCCCAGACTTAGATAGGCCTACTGGGCTTTAATAATAATACAAGAGTCTTCTCTTCGCGATAAGTGTTACTGGGTTCTTTAACGTACATTACACAACACACGGGACCTACGGCTTTACGTTACGCCCGAAGGACGAAGCAATAATGGTAAAGTGCCTTGCTCAAGAGCACAACACCATGTTCCACGGATTCGAATCCATGTACCACCACGGCACGCGAGTCGAACACCGTAACCATTGGACCACAGCACCCCACAGCTTCAATACCAAAAGAATGTTGTAAATCAAATAAAGATGTAAACTTGTGGAACAATTTCTTTTATTTACTTATTTTTCAGGAGGAGTCCAGTTCGTAACTTGCGACCACAATCGCGTCAATAAACTCTTCACTGATTCCGTTGGTACGCGCTGTCACGAGGCATATTACTGCGAGGGCGAGTACGTGGCCGACTTCATCGAAGGGGCCTGCGCGTTGACCCAACGGGTGGCCGAGATGGGATTTCACGCTGATCTCTACAAGCCAACGGACAACTCGAAAAACCTGGTGTTCTACCAGAAAACGATCGGAGAGGAGCCGTTCTGTGGTGGGTTGCCTTCTTCGAACGACTATCGGTGATAAAATTTGACCGTTGTCAAATTATCTGTGAACATCTCTACTGTCATACACGTGGGGACATACATGTAATCATACAGACATTAAAGTTTGTATATACGTGCTTTTTCAATATTTCGGTTTTCTTTTCCGAACAAAATTTAAAGGAATGTAATGTCCTGTAACAAATCAATTATAGCTTGTTTGTTTTTGCAGACCTTTGTACAGTTTTAAAAATTGGTTTGAAATGGCGCGCTCCAAGTCAAAAATTGCACACGTCCCGTACTTAATTCAAAAGTTGAAATTAATTAATTATCACTTGTCATGGGCTGATTTGTTCGTGCTATGTCTCATTGGAAACTATTTTTCAAGGTGCCACACCCAAAAAAAGCACGTATACACCAACTTTAAGAAATTGAGCTCAGATCAAGAAACAGAAATTGGCCAATTAACAATAATTGTTGACCGCTGTGATGTGGGATATGACGTTCTGAACACCCGAGAGGCGGACAGCATCCGAGGCGAAGCCGAGGGTGCTATGCGCCCCGAGGCAGCAGTAAACACAACAATCATGACATTCAAACGCCGACTCACATGCAAGTCGCGTGCTCGAGACAGCTGATCGTCTGCTAGTTCGCTGCTCCCACTCATGTGTGAAAACATGGTGAAAATTGCGTGGGTACCAACGATATAAGCGTTTCACGTACCGTACATACGTACGTAAAAGTCATAGCACACCTCCTGTGGGATATCACGTAGGGCCTATACGTGATATCCCACAGGGAGTGTGCCATGATTTTTTATAAACTTAAAACGTGATCGTTCTAGGCCAATGAAAATACAGTAATCAAGACATAGGTATAAGGCCAAAAAAAAAAATATTCGGTCTCTGGTCAGACCAAAGTTCCGGAATTGACGCGGGGACGCGGCTTTTTTTCTTTTCTTTTTTTGGCTTTTTTTTTTTCTTCAAGCTTGGATTGTACAGACAAGGTGGGGTACTATTTTGCTTTGTGGGTGTCCTCATGTACATTGGTGTCCTACATAATTTGCCTTGGTGCAATTTCCCATTCCTTGGTGCTCTTTGGTTAAAAAAAAATGAGGAGGGGCGGCAATAGAGGGCGCTGTTGGAGCTACCGCGGAACATTTTGGAAAAAAAAAAGGTTGACGCGCATGATTAAAATCGACGCGCGCGCTGACCAGAGACCGAATACTTTTTTTTTTTGGCCTAACAATGTCTTCTTTTTTTTACAACGTCTCATTATTTAAACATTTTGTGCTGCCAGGTTTTCATTACCGATTCGACATACACTTTGACGACCCGTGGAGAGCCGCAAACGGCAAAGGCAATCTGTTCGTCACCCTCATCGGCACCAGTGGAAACCAGGAAAGACTGCAGTTGACTGCGTTAGTATTATATAAACTTCATGGGGAGGGGTCAACACCACTTCTTCACGCCGAGAAAGCTGCATCCACAGGCGGATGCATTTGGTTTTCATCAGAGGAGTATTAAGACTACTGTTTTTAAATTGATGCAGCTGAATTCTACTCAATCATATTTTCGTCACTGACAATCAACCTTTATATGCAACCAACTTTACCACTTTTGAAAGAAATAGGCCTTTACCCATCTTTTTGCACCTCTCCCTCGAAAATTTGGTTCTGGATTCAATGGGTTTTTTTTTTTAATATAAAATGTTAATTTGTCTATGAAAAAATTACCAAAACATGGCGGTTAAAAGCGAGGGAATAAGAGAAATACTGATTGTTTTTTTTTGTATTTCGCTAAAGTATGAAAGGGGGAAACTTAATTCTGGCCAAGGGCGGATCCAGAACACAATTTTTTAGGGGCCAACAAAATTTGTGGTCCCCCAAAAAGTGGGTTAAAAAAATTACGGCGAGGGGTTCGGGGCTTGCTTAAGGGCCCCGGAAAATTGTGGGATTCTAGATGCTCTGTGGTGCGATCTGAGGCCATTTCTGACCACTTTAACCATTGTTTTTGAGGAAAAGATGGTAGTGTACGCATGCAGTGGTGCCTGCCTTTATTGCGACGTCACTTATAAAAAAATGGGTTCGTTTTGGAGAGGGGGGGGGGGGCATGGCCCCCGTTGGCCCCCCTGGATCCACCCTTAATTCTGGCAAGGAGTCCTACAGATATCTGGGGGAAACTAAAGGCCTAAGGACTGCCCCCCCCCTCCTTGACCCGCCTTCGAGGTTATAATATAAAAAAAAAGGAGATGGGCTCTGTATCAATATTGGCTCCTAATTGTGCTTCAGAAACCAACATATTCCATCATATGGAGTGCAAATTTTAGAATAATTTCATCTGGCGTGGTCAATATATGGCTACTAAATAGTTCTGAAATCAGAGATGAACTTTATTCGATTCCGGGGTTCGAAAAAAAAACACCTTAGTTTTTGTAAACACCAGTTTCTTTGTGTTCTCCAGTGACATGCAGGAGTTTCGCCCCGGCCAGGACTACCGATTCATGGCAGTGACCGGGGCGCCGATGGGCACTCTCTCGGGTCTGTACTTCGAGTGGGAGTACGACACCGCGTGGTACAAGCCCTGGGAGTGGGACATCTTCACCAAACCGGACTTTTACGTGCACAGGATTGAGGTGTACTCGGCGAATGACTTCACGAGGTATTGCAATAATTTTACTATTAGCTTTTACCTTGCGTCCTCGGTGCACGTATCTGACTGACTAACTGACTGACTCCCCGACCGACTGACGGGGAGTCTCCCCGTGAGCTGGGCGACTGACTGACTGACTGACTGTCACTTGTGAACCGGGCAGTTCTATTGTATAGGATTGCCCCATAACGTCAAAGAAATCAGCTAAATCCGGCCCATTGTGAAGACCACATGCATTGAAAAGACGTTCAGTGAACAGCCATTCTGAATCAATGGGCCTTATGCACGAGTTGGCCATTTTTGTCGAGTTCCCCGAATGTATTTCATAAATTGTTAACTGTTGAATGGGATGGTGCCACACTATTTATGTTGCCTTATTTTACTGTCATATTTTTTAAAATCTGGCTTAAAACATTAGGGAATGTTTAATGACAAATTTTAAATGATTCATTCAAGCAGGCTTGAATTAAGTAGTAATTTTGCTTTCATTTCTCTTCGCAAGTTTCAAAAATGAAGATTTTATCTCACTTTCAATTCAATATGCCCGACTCGTGCATAAGGCCCATTGAAAAGAATTTGGTGCTCTGTGAGACAAGCTTTTTTAGGCTTCAATTGTCCTATTTAATGATGTCATCATTTTTGCGTGGTTTCTACAGCTACATCATGTGCGGCCAGAAAGACCCCATCAAAGCAAACAGAGACGTGGCGGCTTTCTTTCCCGTGGACAAGTGTGACTGACGAGTGTGACGTCTTTCTGCCAGCGTGACGTGCGACTGTGACGAGCGTGATGCCATTTTTTTGCGTGACTACCAACTTTCATATAGTGAAGGCTTCCAGGGAAGGCACTATTCCATTTTTCCAATGAAAAATAAACAAGCTAAAAATATAGCGTATAAATTGTGCTTCCAAAATCATTTGCCGTTTTAAGTCAACAATTCGAATCAATCTTTGATCAGTCGTCGTGTTTGGGACGGTGACCGTTATTGTACAAGTCAGTGAGATGTCTATTTTTCTTTATATCAATAAAATATGATTTAAAAACAAAATGGAATTCGTCAAAATGGTTGCATGGACTATTATTGTGGATGTCTTTACTGTGTACCGTCCAGCATTTTGTATATATGTTTTTGCCATCGAACACATAACAAATTTTGTTGTCCACTTTAGGATCTAAACAACTTTTCCTCATCCGTGGGTTTCTCAACACCTGTGAGTCTGTGACACGACACCGCTATTCCAGTAATCTACTTTCCCAAGTGTTTTTGTGGTTTCATGCTAGATAACCTGATTAATTGACGTCATCCAGATAACCTTAATCATCTTATTCTAAACCCCAACTTGGCAAATCTAATGAATCTTAAGAAGATAATTTATCTGAAGTAATTTGTCCCCACGAGGTCAACATAAACGGTCCAGAATATCATCGGACAACGATACCATTGCCCAAAAAACTATAGGCCTAAGTGAAAGCTAAAATTGGGTCGAGTGAATCCGCTTGCACGGATCAGCATTGAAGCAGATACCGTCTTTTCATATCAATCGCACTCAATTAAAAAAAAAACTCGTAAACACTGTGCAAGTATCAATTTTTAAACAGTTTAACTTCATTACAGCGATATCTTTGTGCAAGTTGAAAAATATAGGTAAACATATCTTTTCTGGAGTATGGACTGAATCACCAATGGGCGCTGACCGCTTTTCAAAAACAAATTTTTATTTGGGACCAGGAAAAAGTGGGTGGGGCACATGATACCTCCCCCCATCCCCACCGATACTACGATTATGGCATCAGCTATACGGTGAACTTGGATCTAGTCGAAAGCTTTAACATTCGGAGTATTTTCCGTATGGCGACTTTATATAGATTCCCAGTCAGGCAGTGGCGTATCCAGGGGGGGGGGGGGGGGACAGGGGGGCAAGTGTCCGGAGAAAAAAACATTTCTACATTTCACCACGGATGTGCGGTTGCCCCCCCCCCCCCCGACATCAAAAGCTGGATACGCGGCTGCAGTCAGTTCTCAAGAACTAGAGAAACAAGTCAATACATATCGCACGGACCATGGTCAACTTCGTTCCCAGGGTGTCGAGCAGTACGCTCCCACTCTACCTGCTCCCATTGGAAACGCGGTTGGAAATAATGTAGGTCCTGGGGACGAGGTTGGGCTATGGTGTTTTTATATGAAGATGTTCAGCAGAGCAAGGTGCTTTATCCACATTCCATTGTTTGTTAAATACCCATCTTTAATTTTTCCCACCTTTTAATTTTCCTGTCACACTATATCATGTGTGCTTCCAGGTTTCTGTCAACCATAGCACATCAAAATCGAGTAGGGTTAGAATTTAACGATGCACAGGTGGGTCTGTCACGAGCCTTAATGAGATAGACCCAATATGGGGGAAAACGTTATCACACAAACATGTCCAATTTGAAAACTCGGGTTGGTTTTAGGGTATCATTACATTGCTAACGATATTAACACTAACAAGTCGGTTCTCGAACCGCGCGTCTCGCCAGCTTTCGCGGTTATCTTTAAAAAGCAACAAAGGTGACCTTGGTGTGTCACCTTTGACATCCAGTTGGTTCCAATTGGACTTCAACTTTTGAAATAAGACAAATTTTACACATTCAGCAACTTTACAACTTTTCCTCAGATGACCTTTGGCCTTGGTATGTGACCGTTAACATCATTATCATATGAAGGTTGCCATGTTGCATCTTTGACCCAAGTTTGGTTCCAATTCGGACTTCAACTAATCAACTTTTCAAAGGAAACATACTAAGTTTACATTCTTAGGCTATTTTACAACTTGACCTCAGATGAACTTGATGTGTGACCTTTGACATCATTATCATATGAAGGTTCCCATGTTGCATCTGTGATTCACGTTTGGTTCCAATTGGACTTCAACTTTTGAAATGACACCAATTTTACGAAACTTTAACCAAAATACCACTACATATATATAAAAATTCACCGACATAGTGATTGCATCGTCTCTTTCCAGAACAAAGTCCAGGCGAGACAAAAATGGAAAATTTAAACACAGGTGTGGAACAAGCTTAAAACTAAAATAAGGTTGATGCAGTTGTCTGTTTTGAATAAAAGAAACGACTTTTTTTTATGAAAGAAACCATGTTGATGGACAGCTGCCACTCAAATATCAAAACTAATCTTTCCACCGTCTTGCACCACGAGTTATATCCAGCACAAAAAGCCAATTGATAACCTAGATTTGAATTTGTCTCACGCGATGTTAACTATACGATAGTGTATAAAACGGTGCACACCAATGCGTGTTTCCCACTTCATACTAGAGCTTCTACTAGTCCAACAGTTTCTGGCTCTGCTGAATAATAAGGACTAGTGTTTGAGGGATTTTCAAGATGAGAACGTTAGTCGTCGTACTTGGGGCTCTGTTGCCGTTGGTGTTTGGTGCAAGTGGTAAGTGCAGTTATAAAAACCGCGTTTGATTGATTGATCAGGGGCACTAGACTTTGATGTTGTGCCCATAATAGTGAGCGCTTCAATTGTCTTTCCAGTTTTGCCTTGGTGGTGTACATGTAGGGACTACATAGCTTTAACTGTTCTTTATAGAAAATCGACTAGGGCCTAAGGGTTGTTCTTTCAAAACTTAATGATGCACGAATCTATCATGAACGGAAAATAATAGTAATACACCTGTATACATAGAAAACTCCAACACTTCAAAGGCATTTGGAACAATCCCACCCTGCTTATTAAAAAACATTTGGGACCTTTTTTTGGTAATTTTTAACACAATAAAATCCCATTTGCCCCCAGATAAAATAAAAATAGCCAATGCTGTTTAGGCCCAAAAAAAAAAGTAATGAAATTAAGATGATGTCCCAAAACCGCCAAACTCACTGGTTTGACTGGAATACTACTGTTGCACAATTTTAACATGTTTTTAGATTGGGTTATGGTCGAGAATAAGCTTTGTGTGGCCTCTCTGGACTCCCATATATTTGCACTAAGTTTAGTCGGGCATCATTTGCAGTCATCAGCACACATTTGAAGCAAAAAAAGTCAGGTAAAAAAAAAAAAAAAAGCCGCGTCGCCGCATCACTTTTTGGGCAAGCTCCATACCAGAAACCGGAGACTTTTTTTTGGCCTTATGTATTAAAATCAGTCACACTGGATAGATGATGCTAAGTAAGTCAGTAAAGGCTGTCACGAGCCAATGTGGCCCATCAGGCCGGCGTTTATCTCCGGTTTCAGTAGCATGAAACGACTGAGAATATTTCTACTCCCCCTGGACGGGATGCCAGTCAGTCGCAGGTTACTCCCCAGCTTATGCCGGTATACCCATTTATACTCCTGGGTGGAGAGAGGCGAGTGGGGTTGAAGCAGCTTGCCAAAGGACACAACATAGTTATGACCAGCAGTTGGATTCGAACCACTGATCCTCTGATCATGAGTCACAAACCCGAACCACTAGGCCACACTCCCACCATACAAGATATGATGGTAATGTCCCCATTTTCTAATGCCATTTAGTGCATACCGAGTTCGATCAATTGCCTCCCAGTGACAAAATCGAAAATGTGACCGCAACTTGTTTCAAAACTCACGCTTGTAAACACAAACAGTCCACCCTACATGTACATGTATTTATTCGTAACATCCCGACTTGAACCTCAGAGGTTTGCTACCCCAACATCGGCTGCTTCGACTACGGCTACCCGTTCTTGGATCCCCCCGATCGTCCGTTGAGCTGGGCGCCGCAGTCTCCCTCGAAGATCAACCCGAGATTCCTGCTGCACACCCGGCGCAACCCGCTCAAGGCCGAAGCTCAGACGCTGGACAGCGACGATCCATCCACCATCAGCAACTCCCACTTCGATTCGACGAAAGAGACCAAGTTTATATGCCACGGCTTCATCGAAAGTGGTGGGTATATAGAACTCCTAAAGGATTTCACTGATATTACCAGCACAATTATGACAGGAGGGTACCCCCAATCTCCCAATCCCCTTTAGACTATTGTTAGCTAGCACATCCCCCTCGGTATCTCAACAGATTTCCTGAGATTCTGGTAACGCAATTACCAACACAAAAGAAGGGGCTTCCCTTTCGTCACATTTCGTGCTACATAAAAATTATGTTCACTGAAGTTATTCAGAGACATCGCATCTTCGACCAGAATGAAGGAAGAGTTAAAATCATTCCAGCGAATATTTGAGTTCTAGCTGTGGTTTTTAGTTAACTTTCGACCGAAGAGATTCTTTATAGCATATCCATCTAATTTCGCTCTCAATCGAATGTTCCCTCTTTGGATTGAACAGAGTATTAATGGGTTCATGAGGTGATTGTTTTCTTAGGAACGCATTTTTTTTGCAACTTTATACTCTGCTTAAAATGTACGAAAACTATTTTACATTTCGTTGTAAAGTTGATTGAAAAGTGCACTTCTTTAAACATCTCAAATTGTCCGTGCTTTTCCGGACAAACTGAGGGCGCTGTTGCTATGATGTCATTTCTGGAAATGACATCATAGCAACACTGTTCAGTTTAGGAATTTTCTGTGGAAATTGTAAACCCAAAAATTTGCTTATTGAACATTTGTGAGACAAATTTCTTCATTGGCTTACTGACACAACAGCGAATCGCAAAAGAAAAGAAAATGTCGACAGCAAAAATCCTAAAATTCAACTTGATGTTGATATATAATTGTAGCTGTAACATAATGCCTGAACTGCCATAATACTTTTGCTCATGAATATGGAAATTCACATTAGCATAAAACCAAAAAGGCATCCAAATACCCATAAAATGGCAAAAATAAAGTTACATGGGACACAAACTGTCACAAAGGTGCATTTTCAAGGATTGCATTTTAAAAAATAACATTGCATGGCCCTTTAATGAATTGAAGAAAAAATAAAGATTTTAAAAAAATTTCTATCGCTTTCAGGTGTGATAGAGTGGGACTACTGGATGACCGACATGGTGCAAGAATTCCTCAACTACGACGACTACAATGTAATCCGTGTCGCCTGGGGCAGTGGGTCGTTGTTCCCCTACACCCAGGCTATGGCCAACACGAGGGTCGTGGGCGCTGAGACGTCACGACTCATCGATACAATCAGGGTAAAATATAGCTTCCGTTTCTTGGATTCTCACAACACTAAATAATCATCAGGTGTGACTCAGACTTTGGTTTTATTAGAAAGGTAAACTTCATACTGACTATATTAATATCTGTAACATCTTTCAACCTTGTCGCTCCCGACTGTTGCAGACATCGAACTTTACATTTTACACAATCAAATCTTCGTAGTTCACGTCTAGTTTGGTTTGGTTCATGTAATTTGGTCAGTCTGAAACGGGTCTTCATCAAAGTCATTGGCTGCCGCCCGGTAAAAAAAAAACCGAATTGGTAACACCGACCATGTTGCACGTTGTCAAAATTCTTCCTTTGGTGACGTGAAGGATCAAACTCTGAAGAGGACTATCAGCCCGTATCTCTGGGAAATCATAGACCCGAATCGCGCTGTAGTTTGCAATAGGATGGGTCGATTTGGAGGGTCATTGATATAAGCAAAAATGAATAGAAGGATTAAGCTTCCGAAAGCCTCTGAAGGAATGCAGGATCACCCCTGACGTCATTGCACACATCCTCGATCGTGTGTTGCGCCAAACGATCGAGGAGGTGTGCAATGACATCAGGGGTGATCCTGCATTCCTTCAGAAGGTCGCAGCACGCGCCTTCCGCCACTGTCCCCAGCGCATATATCAACATTCTGAAAGCGAGTATTTTTTTCATACGGTGTTTAAATCTCACCCTCTTGCACAAAGCTGATGAAACTCGCTCCATAAAATTTGTCATGCCATGTTTACATGATCTCAAATTCTATTCCAATGGTAAACAACAGAGTTATTTAGAATCAAAAGTATGACATTTTTTTCACACGTATAGGTAGTAACGCCGGTTACAGCCCTATAGTCCGAAGGTTCGATAGTCCGAAGGGTCATTAGTCCGAAGGGTCATTAGTCCGAAGGTTCGTTAGTCCGAAGGTTCAATAGTCAGAAGCTTCGATAGTCCGAAGGGCCCAATAGTCCGAAAACAGAAGAAGGTTAATAAATAGTCCGAAGGTTCGATAGTCCGAATATACAATATGGTCCGATAGTCCGAATTGACGATAAGGTTCGATAGTCCGAATGGACAATAAGGTTCGATAGTCCGAATTGACACCTCATTCAAATATCAATCAACTATTACTGTGTATATGCATGCAGGGAATGTACGGCATATCTGCGGCATCTTTCCATTTCATTGGGCACAGTCTAGGGTCACAGATCGGCGGGTACGTCGGGAAACGACAGCCTGGCCTGGGCCGAATCACGGGTAAGGACAGAATGTATAAGAATACAGATTCAATCGTATGTTATTGTTTGTGCCCTAACCCTTTTGTCCTAGGTCACCGATTGTCGGTGTTTACATACTCACACACAAACACACACAATGTGTGTATTTGCCTGCAATTGGGGACCCCATATTGTCCCTCTTTTGTTTGTACTTTAACTTGTTGGGAACACCTCCCATTATGTTTTATACACGCCGCCAAATTTGGGACCCTCGGGAATTGGGAACCCTATTGTCCTCTATTGTTTAACGTCCCCTATTGAATGCAGAAACAAATTCACACGTTTGTTTATGGTGTAAATCGAGGATTTTCTTTTGTTGCTCTTCCCTCTACCTTTGTTTGTACTTCAACTTTTTCGCAACAGCTCTCATTGGTTTTGTACACGATTTCCAACCGAGGAGTTCTCGATTCGGTTTCTGTCCTCGATTTATCGATGGTGTTGCACGTGTGTGTCCTCGATTTACACCATAAACAAACGCGCGTACACGTAACGCCAGCATACATACTGAAATTGTCGAGTGCAAGGCATTGTCTTTCCCTCTGTCCCTGTAATATAACACACTCCCATAGACTAAGAACATAAACGAGGACCGTTTTCAATAACAGATGATCCATCGAGGGCAACAGAGAATCTGTTGTTCTCCCTTTGTCTGACAGTCTTCGGGGGGTATACTTAGTGCACGCACACTCATTTCGAATTTGCTGCGTCGGGCTTGCTGGTTTGTCTCCCTCCGCCAAACAAATGGATCTGCATCCGCCCATATTGAACTGGGAGCATTATTTGGAGGAAAACCTGTACGCATTATTCGATGCACTATAATATTTGTGGACATCCTTTGACAGGTTTGGACCCAGCCGGACCAGGTTTTGAAAACACTGAGCCAGAGGTGCGCCTCGATCCCACGGATGCTATCTTTGTCGACACGATCCACACTGATGCCCAACACACCCTCGACCTGGGTAAGAAACAAGCCCTACTAAGTGGAGCGTTTTAAGGAGTAAAAACCAGTTCACTCGTAACGCAAAAGCGAAGCAAAATCATACAGCAAAATACACTTTAACCCAGGGCGCGCCTCAAGGTTTCAATCCCTACCCACCCCACCCCATTATTCGTTATTGTCAGCCAAATCGTCGTCCCGTCAGCCCCAAAATCACAGAATATCAGGCCCCCCTTCCCCTAATCAAATTGGTGGGGCCGGACGCCGGTGCTCAGACCTTGTTCTTCCAGCAAATGATACTCTTAACTGCGAGTCACACAATGTAGTCGCATAATATTGTCTTTAGTCCTCATATATAAGATTGAATTCGCGTTGGGGTGATCTAAATTCAATATTGGGTTTTTGTGGTATCCCGGGTAATTGTGAGAGAGAGAGAGAGAAAAAAACCCACTTTACTCGGGTGGGACTCGACCCAATGACCTCCTGCTTACTAATGCAGACGTCTTACCACTCGACTACGGAGCTTGCCAGGGTCGACTAGCTCGTTCGAATCTGATATAGCAGCGGGTACCGCAACCAAACTATAATTCATGAGATGGAATATGTCGGGCGAGAGGTTCCTTAACAATCCTCTTGGACCTAGATTATGTTTCACTGTCATCTGCAAAATACAGTATTTTGTTTTAAAAACATGCCCGTGTAATCTCACAGGTTTCGGAATGATCCAGCCGGTGGGTCACATGGATTTTTACCCGAACAGCGGCCGTGATCAGCCCGGCTGTGACCAGACCATCTTCGAGGACTTTATCGACGAGGGCCTCATTGGAGGTAAGATGACACTTTCTCTCACGATTAGTGAAAGACCAATCGGTCTTTTTCACGTGAAACGAGGAGATCAACGTTTTCCCGAGAACTGCGGATTTTGTTTCTAATCGCGGAAAATCGATGTTTTTCATAAGAATACCTGTTGCTCAACTGCCCCATTGATTACCTTTTGTTGTTTTGGAGCAGGGGCGGTGAAATTTGTGGCTTGCAACCACATGAGGGCGCATGAGTTCTTCTCCGATTCCATCAACAAGTGTCCGATCTATGGTTTCAAGTGCCCGAACGGTAAGTAAACAAGAGGCTGAGAAACTTTACATTTTTGAAAATATACATTTTTGTAACCTTATTAACATTCAAGCCTTCAGTGTGGCAAACCGGTGAAAATATGCAGTTTAAAATTTTGTGTGCCAAATTGCTATTTTCAAAAAGGGATGTAGAAAAAACAAGTGCGAGTGCACAATAAGCCCTGACTGTCTTGCATGAAAGTCTTGCATGAAATCTACCAAAATGCGACGCCGATGGCACAAATTGAACACCATACTATAGATGTATACCTAAATTTATAGCGATTTGTGATAAATACCACGTGACTATGACATTACTACACATATTTTGCCTCTATTTACAAACTTTTCATAAACAGCTTTCCCAATTGTTACAAACATTTTTTGTTAAGTTTTTAATTTATTTTGTTTCTTTTTTTGAAAATTGGAATTTGGTAGTTATATTTTGATGGAAACTTATGGGGCCTTATTTTGGTTAATTTTCAGGGGACAATACCGACCGACCACCAAGTGACATGTAGAAGCTCCAGTCAGATCTTAAAAATAAAATAAAAATAACACTCTCTTTAACTTTCAGAGCCATGAAGAGATGGCGTTTTGTTTCGCACATAAATTTAAACGCCGAATGACAATGCTGATGTGATGACAATTAATGATTCTACTTTAATTTAACCAAGCGGTACGCGTAAAATTCATGTTTTACAGAGAAAATGTAATGCGGAAATTTGAAGGTTTTTTTCTCTCTCTGTGTGTTATTTTGCGCCGTGTAGCTGCAGATACCTACGACAATTTCGTCAATGGTGAATGCTTCAATGGCGATGTAGCGATGATGGGCTTCCATTCCATCAACAACAAACCGGCCTCAGGCGTCATACATCAGACATACTACGCGACTACTACAGACAAATCGCCTTACTGTTTGGGTGAGACCAAGTAGCCACGATTTCACGCCAAAATGTATATACATGTACACATTAAACTCAGTTATTTTGCAATATTTCAAAAAAAGTGGCAGTAGGGCGTTGGCCTTGCCCTAACTTCATCTGGCATGCACTGTAAAAAAACCAGATGTGCTCAAAGTCGGATTCAAGGCGAAAGTTTGGGGTCCAGATTATAAGAACCCCCCCCCCCCTCTATTGTCCAATGTTATACATAGTGGGAACAATTCCTAAATTGTCATTAGTTCCCCAAGTTGACCACTCAATATTGCCAAATCGTCATTCAGTGCATCTTCGGTCCTTGCGCCTTGACGGCAATAGTTAGACCTTATAAAGCTTCCCCCGCCCCTGCCCCGACAAATCCTGGACTTCAGAACCCAATACGTTTACACCACTTTAAAAAAAAATCATATACATGTATCCCCCTTTGGTATTATTGTTCATGCTCTTCAACACGTTTGATTGTTTCCTTTTATCAAAATCGTACGTGTGCGTTATTTTAACGAACCCTCAGCCTGTTTTCTCATTTTTCCTGAGTCACCAACCTTCTAAAAAAGCTTTCATTTCGGGTTAGATACGCCCTACGAAAATTCCATTTCAATTCGACATCAAGTGAGCTTCTCTGAATGATTCAGCTTTTTTTTTCTCTCCCTTAGACAACCCTTTCCAGATTCGTCTGTACTTTGAGGATCCCTGGTTTTCCGAGACGTTTAAAGGATGGGCCTTCGTGACGCTCACTGGTGGCAAAGGCAGTACGTCGAGAACCAAGCTTCACGAGTGAGTATAGACATTTGGAATCTGCTAGTCGCTGAGGATGACATTCGCAAACATTGCGTGTATGATATTATTTACTTGTCTTATTTCACAGGTCTAGGTCAAAGAAAATCACGTTACGGAGAAAACGCGACGGCGTTTTTTGGGTCTTGTCTACTATACAGTGCGTACGTATTTCAAGCTTGGAACTTTAAATTGGGCGTGCCTCCTACACAGCAATTAGTTGTTCGTGATGAATGGTCGACCCGCAAACTTTGGCAGCGCAGCGGTACATGCGGCGCGCGTGGTTTCGCTGTCCGGTGTGTGTCAGTGCCTCCGATCCCTGTTTATTGTAAAACTCGGAGGTCCAAGGGCGGATCCAGGGGGGGGCCAAAGGGGGCCATGGCCCCCCCCCAAAACGAAACCAATTTTTTTTGTTTTTTATGTGACATCGCAATAAAGGCAGGCAATGAGTACACCACCATCTTTTCCTCAAAAAACATTGGTTAAAGTGGTCAGAAATTGCCTCAGATCGCACCACAGAGCATCTAGAATCCACAATTTTTTCGAGGCCCTTAAGCGGGCCCCGAACCCCACGCCGTAATTTTTTTGACCCACTTTTTTGGGGGACCAAAATTTTTTTTATTTGTTTTATGTGACATCGCAATAAAGGCAGGCAATGAGCACACCACCATCTTTTCCTCAAAAAACATTGGTAAAGTGGTCAGAAATTGCCTCAGATCGCACCACAGAGCATCTAGAATCCAAAAAATTTTCGGGGCCCTTAAGCGGGCCCCGAACCCCACGCCGTAATTTTTTTGACCCACTTTTTTGGGATACCAAAATTTTTTTTGGCCCCCCCCAAAATTGTGTTCTGGATCCGCCCTTGCGGAGGTCCCGAAGTACTCGTACTCTGAAGTCGTATAGGACTCAGACTCGGCTTAACAAAACTTGTATTAGAAAGTACAAGTACTTACAAGAACGTGTACTCGTTCCTGAATGTTAAAGTACTTGAGTGGTACTCGATACCTATAGGTGCTATATATCCTGTTACTCTGCTAAAGTACTCGACTACAACACTGGGCTTAAACTTGAGTACAGTAAGTACGTTTTAAATGCCAAGACTTTTTGTGGTTAGCGAGTTAGAATCTTTAACTTAAAACGCCTTCCAATCACTCTCTGTTTCGACCTTCCCTGCTTAAGACCTAAGGCTATGAGGTCCATTGACTGAAACAGAGATGGGAGGAGTATGTTCGTGATGAATTGTATAATGAACAACCGAGGCCCCAAACCAACACTACTCACAAAGATGAGCTAGTCAACATTAGTGTCGAAGAAATTGAAGTTGCAGTGAGGACGTCAGCCAACGGAAAAGCCTCAGGAGAAAATATCATTATCAGCGAAATTCCTCCAATGCCTTGGTGATGAGGGATTGAATGAATTGAGAGAACTTGTGACTTGCATCAACAGATCTGGCGAGATACCACGTGATTTTCTTGTCAGCACCTTCAGGATACCGAAGGAAAGCAAGCCACTAAATGACAATGGATGAAGTGATCATCGACCATAGGTTTAATTTCACATGCTTCAAGAGTGTTGCTGCAGATCATTATTAAAAGATAGGAATACTCCTATCATTGAAAAAGACATCGAGATGAGCCACAGCTACGGGATTTAGAAAAGGAAAGGGTATACTAGAGATGAAAGGGAAGAACAGAAATGACAAAGAAGAACATTTACATAAATGACAGAGAAGAAGAGAAATGACAGAGAAGAACAGAAATATCTTGTGGGAAGAACTGAGATGAAAGAGAACAGAGACGACAGAGAAGATCATAGATGACAGAGAAAAACAGAGATGACAGAGAAGATGACAGAGAAGAACAGAGATGACAGGGAAGAACAGAGATGACAGAGAAAAACAGAGATTACAAGGAAGAATAGAGGTGACAGAGAAGAACAGAGATGACAGTGAAGAACAGAGATGACAGGGAAGAACAGAGATGACAGAGAGAAACAGAGATGACAGGGAAAAACAGAGATGACAGAGAAGAACAGAGATGACAGAGAAAAACAGAGATGACAGGGCAGAACAGAGACGACAGAGAAAAATAGAGATGACAGGGAAAACAGAGATGACAGAGAAGAACAGAGATGACAGGGAAGAACATCAGAGATTACAGAGAAAAACAGAGATGACAGGGAAGAACAGAGATGACAGAAAAGAACATAGATGACAGGGAAGAACAGAGATGACAAAGAAAAACAGGGATGACAGGGAAGAACAGCGATGACAGAGAAGAACAGATATGACAGGGAAGAACAGAGATTACAGAGAAAAACAGAGATGACAGGGAAGAACAGAGATGACAGAGAAGAACAGAGATGACAGGGAAGAACAGAGATGACAGAGAAAAACAGGGATGACAGGGAAGAACAGAGATGACAGAGAAGAACAGAAATGACAGGGAAGAACAGAGATGACAGAGAAAAACAGGGATGACAGGGAAGAACAGAGATGACAGAGAAGAACAGAGATGACAGGGAAGAACAGAGATGACAGGGAAGAACAGAGATGACAGAGAAGAACAGAGATGACAGGGAAGAACAGAGATGACAGAGAAAAACAGGGATGACAGGGAAGAACAGAGATGACAGATAAGAACAGAGATGACAGGGAAGAACAGAGATGACAGGGAAGTACAGAGATGACAGAGAAGAACAGAGGTGAAAGAGGAGAACCCAAATTACAGAGAACATGACAGAGAAGAAAAGATGACAGAGAAGAACATGACAGAGAAGAAAAGATGACAGAGAAGAACATGGATGACAGAGAAGAACAGAGATATCAGAGAAGAACAGAGATGACATAGAAGAACAGAGATGACAGGGAAGAACAAAGAAGACAAAGGAAAATCTTCACAGATAACCCGAACCAGTGGTCATCCGAGCTCCAAAGGTTTGAGGAAGAGGCTGCTACCATGAGTATGCATATTTCGTGGGCCGAGACTAAGAGCCAAAAACACATGGTTCAGGACCACCCCCCCCCCTCCCATCACTGAGGCAGGGCAGGCAGTTGATGCAGTGGAGAAATTCACATATCTTGGATGCGTGTCTGGAGAAACAAAAGCCTCACTCTCCAAACCAATACCCGGATCTACACCACTTATATCCTACCAATCCTCTTATATGTTCTGAGACATGGACGTTGCCTCAAGGAGGATGGACATAGACTTCAAGCTTTCCATATGCGTTGTCAATGCCGCATATTTGGGGTGAGACGGTCTGATTTTATCACCAACGAGGCCATCTTTTAGAAAACCAGCTGGAGGATATTCGCTCCATCATGTCATCACAGCATCACTCCATCTTTGGGCACATTCGTGGACTCCCTAACAACACCCCAGCACACGATACCCTCAAGCTGGCCGTTGATTATCTACGGGAGCCAAGCCTGACCCTAGATGGCCACGACCACCCCCGAAATAACTGGGTGCGACAGCTTCAGGCCGACCATGCTCTGTTAGCCCCTGACCTGTGGCACACCTTAACTGATCGGTTTGTGTGAGTGGCTCAACGTCCAATAGCTAGATTTGGAGACCGATGATGATGATGATGAGAGAATAGACTAGGATGCACTGTAAAAAAATAATGGGCAAAACACTGTTGGGCAATATAATTTTACCCAACATTAACATTGGTTTGAAATTACCTAATTTGGATAAAAATTGTCCAACTATTGGGAAGAACTTTGCCCAAGATTTTAACCTGTTGATATGTTGACCAACGGTGGTCTACATATCAACCCATTTTGCCCAACGTTTTTACAGTGTGGTGAACCATAGTTGCTGCGCCAACCTTAGCACAGTTCCAAAAGACGTGTATATATGGCGACCACTCCTTCATCGTAGGTCCAATGGGTCTTCTTTACCCACTGACCCCACCCAATCCCCCTAGTTCCCCCCTCATTTGTTTTGCTTATAGGTTCACTATACCCTTGGCACTCTGCTTGATGTTCATCGCAGCTGTACGCTCATCCTTCTGACATGCTTTACAATGAGCACACAGCCCAATTCTGCATCCTACCCGGCATCGTAGCATCCTGTTCCAGAATCTCCCGCCTTAACGAAAACAGTTTCTCAATTTGCTCCTCTTTCACACCGATGGAAGGTGCCTTTTTTCTGAACAAGTGCCCATTTTTGGTGATGCCCCCCCCCCCCCCAAGTTTGACAAGCATTCCGCCGCCGCTTTACCGACCTCAACACCCTGTTCTAGAATCTCCCGTCCCAACGGTCCACTGAACTTAGCATCCACTACTTAAACTACTTGACCAGCAGGAGTCCGGCAGGATGACGAACAGATCATACTGTTCGAAACGTCGAGTTAAAACAACTGGTTCTTCTCACAACCACACAACTCACAAAAACATATCCTTCACATGGTTTTATCACAAACTTCCCATTCATCGATAATGATGATGTTGACATGGTTGATGATGAAAAACGAACGCAGCTGAGCTGTTGTATTGCGCATGCCTTAGGGGACTTAATCAGGACAATGATGTAATAAGGCATGTGTAAGGGTAAGAGTCCATATAAAGTAAAATAGACCAAATTTCACAGAAGAATTTCACAAAATTTCATAACACCAATCGAAGAACAGAAATGCTAGTGAGCAATCGTGAGCTTTCTCCTCAAATAAGTCTTGGATGCGCAACTATAGGCCTAGTTCCCTCACCAAATAATTACATTTAAACCATCAGCATTACATTGCTACAGGAAAAGCCTGAACTTTAAACCGGGGACGGAGAGGAACTTTATCTTCACCACTGACACAGATCCGGGCGATTTGACTCAATTGGAGTTCTACTGGGACCATGACTTTGAGTTTCTCAACCCTTGGGACTGGCCAATCTTTGACGATATCGAAGTATTCATTCCCAAGATTGAAATCAAGGGCCTCCGTTGGCAGAAGAGGTTGGTGGAAGTTTGTTACTCTCTTTCTTTTCGAAACTATTTTTTTAATAACTTCCTGTTCATCCTTCAAGGACTGAATAAAGTTGACGACAAAATCCGTGAAATTGAAAAAAGAGCCAATTTTCCAGTTTGAAATAAAGGTTCCGATTGCCGAAACGTTACATCTTCTTGGAGACGTTTCAGATGTGCTATAATCATATAATATGTGTTTAACTTATTGTAGCATTTCCCCCCTGATGTTTATATTCAACTCCATGTTTTATATATCATTCAAAAGTGAAAAGCCTTGGTACAAATATTGCTGGAAAAAAAAATAGCAATTTATTACGTTTTACTATCTGTGCTAATTTCGAGTTTCAACACAAGTAAGTTGCCCAGCTTAGGGAACCGGACCTCATGTGACGCTAGAGGGCACTCTTTGTTGGTCTTAACACTTGTACTTATTCTCATTTTTCATAAGTACAATTATAGAGTGAAGGAAATTAGCATCGCATTATTAACAGTCATCTACATACACCTTCTTGTATAATTGCTTGAAGAAAACAGCGGGGGGGGGGGGAGGGGTGGATTTCGTTGTTTTTTTTTGTGGAGACCACCAGGGGGCCACTGGGATTTTTTTTGGGGGGGGGGGGGCACGTACCCCCAGGGCTGTGCCACTGAATACATATCATGCTTACGGTTTGTTTTTCCCCCCAGTTACACACTGTGCAACAGGAAGCCCAGCACTGGCATCAACAGCAATACAAAGGCCTACTTTGATGTTTCCAACTGCTGAGCTTATGGACACAAGAGGGCGGTCTTGAAATCATTGCATCATTATAAATAAACCAATTCTGAAACAAAATTCTAGAAATACTTAAGCTTTATTTTCTCAAGAAATAGGCCTAACATTTACAAGAACACATTGAGTGAATGGTAACCCATGTATTGGGAAAGAGTGACCTTGACTTTTGTCTGTAAATGTTTTAAAACATTTCCTCTTGCAATTTCTATAGGTGTTTTTCTGTGGTAATTTAAACATTCTTACATTAATGAGAGATTATACATGTTGCACCTGAAATGAAGCAATTTTTAGCAGAGATGTTTGTAAAATTTTACAAAATCATTTCAATTTTCAAGTAGAATTAGAAATATCAAATATAATTTTGTTTGGGCGATGATTATCCATAATTATGGAGCACAGGCGAGTGAAGTATAAATTAAAACCAAGTTTGAACAATTGCCAGATATCAATAAATAGTTCATGAGTGATATGCATAGAGTTTGTCCATGTGCTGATGTACCTTGTTCCGGCCTGTAAGTAAGGTAACTCTTAAAAAGCAAATATAAAGCAAATTCAAGCAAGGACTATGGATAACTATAGTTCAACTGACTTCGCGAAAGGATGGTCAGACAACTCTAGTTGACCGTTTGGAGCCGAGAACACGAAAGTATGGATTGCGCATGTGCAAATTAATGTTAATCTAAGCACTTTGTGAGCCCCATTTACATAAAAATAGGGTCGGTGCTGCTATTTTGATATGTATACATGTAATGCTGGTACCGGTATCTTGGAAATCTTGGAAATTCTTTTGCGGTCATCTTGGAATTTTCAAAGTCGATGAGTGGCTAGGCTGCTGGGCTCGGCTCCATCGCTGCTCACAAATCGCACATGGAGCCAATGCACAGCAGGGAGCCAGGATCAAGATGTAATGTCGTTTTGACTATGGAGATGGGAAACATTTCCCCTTCCTCCATGTTTTGACCATTTTTTTTTACATGGAGTTCAGTGGATTTGACCAGCGTTTGACAGGATGTGTGTGGCATAAGGTAATTTATAGACATCAGGGAATTGTCAGGTCAGGGAACCGGAACCAGACTAGCTGGATTGCACCCGTTCACGGATATGTAACCAATTGCAAATGAAACTTCATATGGACTAAATACATTCAGTCAATTGGGGGCAGTATTTGAAAAAAATAGAAAACAAAAAAACAGGTTTTTTTCCAACTATGGTTCCGCTAAACCATTGTTGGGAAATGATACAAAATTCCACTTTTCTTGAAAATGCAGCAAACCACTGCGCACTGAATTCACTGGTTGTTTGGGAACATTACTTATTTACAGTCAAATAAGGACTTCCATAATAATTTTGTAGTTTCATTTTTTAATGTTTGCAGATTTAGTACAATTCATTTAATGTACGTTTTACATTACTGCCATATTTACAAAGACCAAATCAGGTAAGCATGTTTGTAAGCAGCCCCGCATGTAGGCACTATGAAGCAGTTTGAAGATACGCTATGTGACAGGCCTCACTTTCTGTGAATTGAATTGTATAACATTCTGGTGTGAGGCCCGTTTTAAATGCCATGATATACTGCTGTGCTGAACTCAATTCATTTGACTTGTTTTCAGTTCAGCACAGCGACAGCAAGGCGTTTAGAAGAATTTGGCCCAGCAAATTGAGCTCAGCTCAGCAGCATCCTTTGGCTGCCGTGCTTAGCATCGTTGTTCTGAATGGCGTTGGCACGGCACTGTTCTAAACACCGCGTCGAAAGTACAGCAAACATTTGAAGAAAGAAATTAGTATTTTTTAATTTGCCATGTTTTTGTTGTACGTGTACAACAATGCTTACAGAAGACTCAATAGAGGACGCCCACTGAATGGTCAGAATCTTCAGATGAAGATGTAGTCTTGTTTTGCATAATTAATCACTAAATCTGCTCGTACATCACAGACCTTTGCTGTGCAAGCACAAAGGGATATTCCATTCCCATAGACTACCCCAAGCCCTCGAACAAGTCTTTGGTGCGCCACTGGTTCACTTTCCTCACCATGCTATTACTCATCAGCATTTTAACATTGATACATACAGGAATAGCCTGAACTTTAAACCGGGGACGGAGAGGAACTTCATCTTCACCACAGACACGGATCCGGGAGATCTGACTCAATTGGAGTTCTACTGGGACCATGACTTTGAGTTCCTCAACCCGGGAGACTGGCCCATCTTTGACGATGTCGAAGTATTCATTGCCAAGATTGAAATCAAGGGCCTCCGTTGGCAGAAGAGGTTGGTGGAAGCTTTTTTACTTTCTAACTATTTTTGTACATTAAACTTCCTGTGCATCCTATCAGAGAATTAATCAAGTTTGCAAGCCAATCCGTAAAATTGAAGAAAAAAAAATCGCTATGGAATACATGTAAGTACCTTACAAATTGCAAATTGCTGCCTAACTATAATTCAATTCTTGCAGGCTAGACTGGTTCCCACCTCTTTTTAAAGCTATACTGTGGGGACTGGAACTAGTCTACTCACAGGGTGGAACTATTTCTGCGCATAAGCAACAAAAAAGGTCTTTTTTACACAGCGAAATAAACGCCCAAAATGGGGGGAAGATTTTTGTTGCTCAGTTGTTGAGCTGGAACAAATAAGGTGCCCAGCTGCAGAAAATTTATTGATATAAACGTGCCATGCTTCTCATATTTTTTTCCCCCAGTTACACACTGTGCAACAGGAAGCCCAGCACTGGCATCAACAGCAATACCAAGGCCTACTTTGATGTTTCCAACTGCTGAACTGGCTCATTACGGACACAAGAGGGCGGTCTTGAAATAATTATTGCATAGAACCATTTAAATAAGCCAATTCTGAAACAAGGTTTTGGAAATACTTAACCTATATTTTCTCAAGAAATGTTAACAAAAAAACAGTGAGTTAAACTCATGTTACAAAGGAAAAACTTTGCTGACTTACCGGTACAATGTATGTCTATAAATGTTTAATTCTTGGAAAGCAAATACAGAATTCAAAATGTCCTCTCGTAACATTTACAGCAGTGCTTTTCTTTTTTGCAAATCAGTGACTTGAACATTCTTACACTAATTGAGAGAATACGTACGTGTTGCTCCCGAAATGAAATTGTTGTAGCAAAAATGGCTGTGCAAACTTAACAGTCACAAATGTCAAAGTCAACCACTAGTGGATTAATGATCCTCATCCAAACTTCTTGTCAAATTTAAAACCCTGTTCTAGTTTCCTGCCTTACATTGCAACATGTGGCAAACGACGGCCATTAATGCAACCACATCATTGACTGGTGTGCATTCAATGTAAGTTGGCCCACCTACTTGTATGGCTAAGGCCAAAAAAAATAATAAGTCGGTCTCTGGTCAGCGCGCGCGTCGATTTTAATCATGCGCGTCGATCTTTTTTTTTTCCAAAATGTTTCGCGGTAGCTCCAACAGCACCCTCTATTTCCGCACCTCCTCAATTTTTTTTTACCAAAGAGCACCAAGGAATGGGAAATTGCACCAAGGCAAATGATCGAAAGCACCAAGGCAAATTATGGAGGACACCAATGCACATGAGGACACCAAAAAAGCAAAATAGTACCCCACCTTGTCTGTACAATCCAAGCTTGAAGAAAAAAAAATAGCAAAAAAAAAAAAAAAAAAAAAAGCCGCATGGCCGCGTCAATTCCGGAACTTTAATCTGACCAGAGACTGAATATTTTTTTTTTTTGGCCTAACACTAAATCTGGAGTCAACATAACCTTGGAAGTTCACGAGTAAGACATACAATGTACATGTACTTCATTTTTCCTTTAATAATAAAATCTCTGTTAATGCAGTTATTTCTCTTAGCAGTTTGATGTTTCATTTTTTTGTTTTGTTCCGAGGTCAGGAGTAATCCTAACTTCGGTTCTTAAGGAAAATCTACTAGAAGTCTCCAAGATCCATAATATCACCTTTGAAGGGATACATAGAGGTGATTCTTTAAATTTAGGGTCCAAATTGTCTATTATTTGGTCGGCAGGTAGTTGCTTTGAACAATACCTCTTGGAATAAAGAATTTACAAATTTACATATCAGATGTACGGTGGGCAGTAAGAAAGTGGACCCTAAATTTATAGGATGACAGAATGACCCATATGTACTCAATACCCTCCACGCCTTCACACTGTGTTGATTTGTAGCTTACAAATATATAACAGTAAAGTTTGGATGCTAGGTTTAAAACCACTCCATAATAACACTCAGTGATTGCAAACCAAACCCAGAAGATTAAATTTAGACTGTTTCTTAGTCCCTCCATTGTCCTTTGGACTTTCAAATGTAGAGACAGGTAGTTAGCAATGAACCCTGAATGCATTAGGTTTTCCTCCTAATGTATGCAAATTATATGCAGGACTACTGTAGGTCTGATTCCTGCAATCCCTCATTACAAAATCACAACGATAACGTTTGCACGGAACCAGCCTAATGCAAAATGGCAAACAGGCCACAACTGTGCAGTTTCTGTGGTGATGAGCTTCGATTCTTGCTGAATTCAAAAGTGTCTCTGGCAACTATCAATAAAGAGAGGGCAACTACTTTTCAGTATTTGAAACCTACATTGAAACCTACATGTACATGTATGCAGTTGAAATGCTTGAAAGTGCCTTTTTGGAGACACTAGCTATTTTGCCTGCTGGTTGCGGTTAGACTAAAAGTCAGTTTTTTTATAGCCATGTGTTCAACTGTCATCCGAGCACAAAGCTGCGAGTATCGTTTCAAAAATTAACAATCATGCTGCGCACACGCAGAGGTGATCCAATCAATGGCTTTAAATGGGAACTAGCTACCAGTCCCCATATTTATATCAGGGGTGGGGACCAGTCTAGGTTAAATTGGGTTCTAAAAATTGACAATTTTCAAATTTTGTTCTCTAAATACACTCTTAGTTAGAGGAATCTGACACTGCAGATGGCAATTTCAAAACTGACCGTGCCACGTGCATTTTAGTTTTGCTGGAGCATTTCTTGTGATTGAAATTGGAGGAATATTTATCAAAATAATTAGCCACACAATGGGAAACTGACTACATGTATTATAATAATTTTAAATTTGAACAAAGAAATTGACTGGAGCAGGGATTGAACCAGGAACCTCCGGATTGCTGTTCCAGCGCTCTATCAACTGAGCCATCCGGCCCCATGTTGGCGGTTCCCCATAATGTCAATGTCTTTGTTCAGAAGGCACAAGTCAGAAGCCATAAACCATCCATACCTAGCCAGGGATCATGCCGGAGGTCATGATGCCAGCAACATTAACAAATAACTTACGTTGTATCTTGGTTAATGCTGTTTCCAATGTGGATAACTTTTTATCCAGTGCTGGACATTGGTGTAAACCTTTCCAAGCCTGGGTTCTTTCGGATCTCTTGCATCGATATTTCAAAAATTTGAATTCTATGATGTTCCTCTAGATGGTTTCTCAAGTAAAAGTTGTTGCATCTTTGTACAGAGGCGGCAAGTTCGACATCAGTCACTTCTTGGCCAAGACACACAAGAAATTCCCAAAGTGTCACATGAAGATCCCAAAAGAATCACTAGGTGTTTCAGCACTTCATTCAAGCATCCCTGAGACACAAATGAGACAAATCAAACATGGTTTACAAAGAGGAAGATCCTTGCAATTTAACTATTTAGTAAAGACATGCATTAACCCTACACAATGTAACTCCCTAGGCACTTTTGCTAGGATGCAACCTCAATCCAGCAAAATCCTCCAACTGCCTCCATGTAAAAATTGCATACAGCCTCAATCCCGCAAAATCCTCCGTTATTTCTTGAATGTGGTCCTTGGAGGGGTGACCACTGCCTCAATCCTGCAAAATCCTCCAGCAATCACTGTCAACACGTTGAGGCAGAGCCAGTGACATCCTCGAGCAGTACAGAGGATTTCAAGTATAACCTAGGGCCACCAACCTACAATGACCTAGGGCTGAGCATTCATAGCACAAAATCCGCCCCAAGACATTGACACAGTGCACCCTCCAAAATCAGCCACACATTTTTGCCATATAACCTCAATCCTGCAAAATCCTCCATTTTGACAAGAGCATTTTGGAGGATTTGGGAAGGTTAGGGTTAAGCTATGAGCCAAAATATGCGACAGACTTCGGTATTTGCTGTTCTGGCATGGAGTCCATAGTACCAACTCCAGCTGCCCTAACTTTAACCAAAAGGACTGAGGCGCTATACAAGTTATCATAATAAAAGCCATGACATTCCAACATGCACTGTACCTTCAAGAAAAGCATAGGCATCCAAAGCTTCAACAGAAAGATCTGCAATTCAAAGGAAAAACAATGCATGATTATCTGTTAGGTGCTATTAACCCTCCCTCTCTTAGTGATAAAATGGAGAGAGATAGGGGCCTACCCTATCTGTCAAAATCTATCAAGTGACAGGTTTTAACAGTTTTGTAAATTGGGCTCATATTGGTACAATTGACACGTTGTGGCAATTTTGTCGGGGTCCGCTCATAAGTCCGACGCCTCATAGGTCCGACGCCTCATAAGTCCGACAAAATCGCATCCCCTAACCAAATAAAGGCCCATAAGTCCGACGCCTCAAAGGTCCGACGCCTCATAAGTCCGACGCCTCATAGGTCCGACGCCTCATAAGTCCGACGCCTCATAAGTCCGACAACGGAAAAACGAGGCGTTTAATTTGTCGGACTTACATGTATGAGGCGTCGGACTTATGAGGCGTCGGACCTATGAAGCGGAATAAATAAATTTTATGCCTCATAAGTCCGACGCCTCATAAGTCCGAAATTTCGGACTTATGAGGCGTCGGACCTATGAGGCGTCGGACTTATGATACGGCCCCATTTTGTCAACCATGCCTTGACTGACGGTAATAGATGTGGTGGGTTTAAGTACTGCTGAGTGCCTGGCAATGATTGATTTAATTCAGTAACAATGAAGGCACAACAGGTTCACTCATACACATCCCAGCACAACAAAAGCATTGCCCTCTTCTGCCCTCTATTAGAGGACAATGGCTGCTAGCATAAGGTCTATAGAATGGCAGTAAATGTTGTTGAAGTATTCAAGGACACCTAATCTATCAAACCCCTTCAACATGTTTTGACAGTTACATGTATGTGGTTTAAACCTCCTGCTATTTAAGCACTCACAAACAGTCGACATTCACTTCCACTTCCCCTGCTATACTTCCAACAAAGGCTAGTCACCAGCAGTCAGATCACATGTCATATGCAAGCACTGTGACTAGTCAAACTGAGTCAACAGACAAGGCAGGCAAGTTGTGGTCACAGCTGTTTTATCACTCTCCGGGAGTCAAAGCATAGCTGTATCAAGTTACTTAAGCAGTCCAAGGCAGTCAATCCTGCTTTATGTAGGCTGGGAATTCTTAAGGGTTGAAAACAGTCACTTGATTGATTTTGACTGCAAGGACAACTTGGCACAGAATGTATGTTTGCATAGGAGTGTTAATCCATAGGAGGTTCTGGCAGTTGGTGACTAGCAGCTATAGAACAGGAAGTGGGTTGGTTTTGTGAGTTTGTGACAGTTTCATCAGTAGTCAGGGTTTTAATGTGAAAATCTGATTCATTCATGGAAAGGTTTCGTTAATTGGTCTGGTCTGCACAAAAGCTTACCAATATCTTGTCTTTTGATTGTTTTCCGCTTACTTCTGGCCGTGTGACCGTAGGACATTTTGGCAAAGTGCTGCAAGAACATCTCCTGAGAGTTGAAGTTGAAAATGGAAAAGAATTTAAAATGAACAACAGTGATCAACAAAGAATAACTCTGACTGCTACTACTCCTAGAACTATGAGGCTCCACGTAGTGGAGCCTCATAGAGTCAGAAGCCCGCAAAATTGTTGTCAACACAAAACACTAATTAAGTACAAAAACGTCCATTCCAAATAAGCTGTTTCCCACAGAACCGCTGCACAGTTTGCCCCTAAACTCCGTACAATACCTCATGACATACTCACGTTATGTGCACCCAACAAACATCGGTGGATTCTGTCTGTTTTTAGGCCAAAATGATGAAAAATATGCCCTTTCCGCACTGAGCCAACCTAACACTTGAAGCGAGCACGCGCGCTGATATCGCAGTCATTTTCGGGTTCGATCGCTCGGAGCGCGCCGCGGGGGGTACGTACTTGCACTTGTACGCATGCGCATACTATCAATCCGCTCCTACACCATACCCCCCGCGGCGCGCTCCGAGCGATCGAACCCGAAAATGACTGCGATATCAGCGCGCGTGCTCGCTTCAAGTGTTAGGTTGGCTCAGTGCGGAAAGGGCATATTTTTCATCATTTTGGCCTAAAAACAGACAGAATCCACCGATGTTTGTTGGGTGCACATAACGTGAGTATGTCATGAGGTATTATACGGAGTTTAGGGGCAAACTGTGCAGCGGTTCTGTGGGAAACAGCTTATTTGGAATGGACGTTTTTGTACTTAATTAGTGTTTTGTGTTGACAACAATTTTGCGGGCTTCTGACTCTATGAGGCTCCACTACGTGGAGCCTCATAGTTCTAGGAGTAGACTGCTACCTGACATGATCTTCATGTACATTGGAAGGAGTTCAGTGCCTTGGCCACAGAATGGGGATAGTCCTAATGTACATTGTAGGACAGGATGCTGTATCATCGCACTACTTACCAAACTTCTCGATCGGAATAGACGTTGCTCACTATCTTCCTGAATTGTTCCGTCTTTTGTGTTATTTAACTCTTACTTATCACATTGAAATTCAGGCAGTTGTTCGATTTATTTCCTTTTCGATGGCTTTTGACCTGAACTCGGCCTAATTCTATTCATATTATTGTTGGTCCTCCACATCCCCTGAAAAAAATCTGCTAATTGCCTAAATAAAGTCCAGCTTGATTTAAGACGGTTAGCATGGTTAGGCCTGCATAAACATTTCTTAAGACCCCCGGACCCCGAAAGAAGAAAAATTCTTACCGAGACAAGTCTGATTAACTTGTCATAAATGACTAACGTTAGGCAGTGTTAGGCGGGGACTTTGAAAGAATGCTGCAACCTGCGCCACTTTCATCTCAATGAAGGTCAGTCATTGCAAAAATGATGTTAAGAATAAGATATGAAGACTGTCTGAGCATGGAGCTATTTATAGCTCCATGGTCTGAGAAACATTTCCAATTTTTTTTTTAGGAAATACTTTAGGAAATAGTCTTGACTCTCCATAAAGTTTAAACTTTGTCATGTTTGTACACAACCGCTGAAGTGGCGTCAGGCATGTCAGGTTGCAACATTCTTTCCCTATGCCCGGGCTGGGGGGGGGGGGGGGCTTAGCCTATACCTAGGCCTATAATAAAAGTATTAGGCCTAGGCCCCCCCCCCCCCCCCCCCCCGGCCTACTTAGAAAAAAATAAATGATATTTTCCAGATCTGGCATGTCTGGTCCCAGCAAATCCCGACTAACATGACTAAGCAGGCTGTAAGCATGGTAAGGAGTGAATGCAATCATGGAGGAAGATGCTGTGAACTGTACCGTTGCCTTGGCAATGAGAAGAACTGATTCTTGGCTGGCTAACGTCACATCCGGGTCTGTTTTCATGATGTTCTTGATTCTGGTCAGAGGCAAACGCGTGATCCGGTTAGATTTCGTTGACATGGACGCGTTCATCATGTCTTCCGTTCCTGCTTTGGCCTCAGAATCTCCCTCTCCATTTTGCTGACTTCCCGTCACATCAGGTTCCATCTTTCCCCCACACAATTCAATCAAACTTGGTGTTACTTTTTGACAAATTTCAGTATTCCATTCATTAATCTGTTAATGTGTGTTACTTCATAATGAAGTGCGCGCGGCATGAAGTGCGTAACTGGCGCGAAATCTGATGCATGATGGGAAGAGAAAGTACCGCCTAAGCTACTGTAGATTTGTGTTTAGTTGTTTTACTTCGATACTGACGTGTTTTTTTTGGAAATAAAACCAGAATAAAAAAGGAAAGGAAAAAGTGGTCAATAGTAATACAAAAACAAAATGGCTTGCACAATAAAACATGGAGAAGGGGTGAAAACTATTTGCAAAAGAAAATGTTTTTGCTGTCCCCATGCTTTTCAACAATTTTTTTCTTCTCAATCTGAACTAAAACAGTTGAACAAAGAAATTTACTGGAACGGAGTTTGAATCCTGCGACTTTCTGAGTTGTTGTTCTATTTTGAGCATTTGCAACCCCCTGAAAAAAGGCTATACACGTAGCGGCTGTCGAATGCCATAATTAAGTAGCCCGAAATTATTCAGGATCTGAATTATTTATCCTGGCTACAAATCATTCGAAACTTGCAAATACAATTGAATTGTTGCATAACTAAACACGAGCAAATTTATTTTTGTTCAATGTTTCACTGGAAATTTGTTGGCTAATTACAAAATCTATTTCTCGAGGTGAAAATTCGAAAACAGCACTGGGAGATTACATTTGCATTTGAAGCGCGGGTTCGGGCAATCCTTCTTCCACCCCCCCTCCCCTCACCTCACCCCACCCCCGCACCCCCACCCCAACCCCAACAAAAAAATGGTCGATCTAGAAAATCTTTGAAGTTCTCTGGAAACACTGAATCTTAGTTTTGCAATTACACAGCATGCAGCATTGAGCTGAACATAGTCTCAAAGTTTTTGCCCAAGCCGAATATATATCACGTGCCGTTGTCATATGAAAATCCGACTCCTATGAACATCGAATCCCATTTCCCTATTATTGCTTAATCCCTTGCACGTGACAGGTCACTCACCCGTATGTGATCCTAAAAATAGCATATTCTCGTACTTACGCATGCGCAATACTACCAATGAGTCCACATTTCATGGAGTATCGTATATTTACGCTACACCGTTTATCGATATAATAATGATGACGATAGAGAGTATCGAGACTATCGATATATTATACTAGCTGCTAGGGAGGCTTAACATCGTACACGGGTACGCGTACATTGTATTCAGTGCGACCGTTTTAGCCGATTTTCGGCTAACTTTGACACATTTTTTGGTGAAGATAGAGTTTGACAGAAAATTTGACAGAATGGATTTTTTGGAAGATTTCTGGCAGAATTCTGCAAAAATGGTTATTTGACAGGAAAACATAGCAAATTTGAAAAAAAAAATGGTACATTCGTTTAAAAAAGCTTCAGTCTTTGCAAACAAACCCTTGCACAATGGACAGGTTGGCTGGTCTAGGTGCTGAGGATCACTGGGAACCGATCGTGACGCAACCACATTTTTCCTGAAATTTATGCAATTTCCTTACATTTTTAATATGTGACCATAGATTGTTTATGATGTAATTTGAACTTTAATTAAGGCAATACTACAACATTTGCATGTGATTTTAAGTGTTTATAGAGTATTTCGAGTAATTCTTGGGAATTTGGCAGATTTTTTTGCTAAATCTGACAGATTTTTTCAGTGCATTTAGCTGAATTTGGCCATGGCCTTACGGTCACCCTGATTGTATATATTGATGTTGGTTTTCGATCCAACTCGGACCCAAACCAACTCGGACCCAAGCCAACTCGGACCCATGCCAACTCGGACCCACTACCAACTCGGACCCATGCCAAGTCGGACCCACTACCAACTCGGACCCACGACCAACTCGGACCCACTACCAACTCGGACCCACAACCAACTCGGACCCACTACCAACTCGGACCCATGCATGACCAACTCGGAACAATCGTTTTCAATCATTCGACATCGTTTTCAATCATTCATTTCATAAAGTTTGTCCACTTCTCATCTGTTATTACAGTGATGCTGTTTAGTATAAATTTTCATTGTAATTGTAAGGTAAATTATCTCATATCTGTATTGCAGCAGTATAACATTTTTGTCGTTGTAAAGCGCATTGTAATGCTATTTTGAAATGCGCTTTAAAAGTGTAATTAATTATTTATTATTTTTATTTGTTTCCATTAAACCATATTGCGCTTTAAAAGTTAAACCAATTATTTAATTTCATTAAAACATATTAATTGACATCGTTCACACCATCTTGCTAAATTTAACAGCAATTTATTTCGTTTTTAATCCAAACTTCAACGTAACGAGTATACAAATTAAGAACAGATCTTCATAGAAAAATAAAATTGGAAAGTATGGCATTAAAACATAAACACTTTCAAACATAGCATTATTAACTCAATAAATATTACAACATTATAAGCCAATAAATAAAATAAATAAGATATAAAAACGAAGTCTTTTCTAATCTCTATTTTAAAAAACCCACATAAACACCATTGCATACACTGCAAGAAAAACGAAGGTTCCATATTAAACAAAAAGTTAAATCAAAAAAGGATAAAAAGTTAATCGGATTCGTAACCCCCCCCCCCCCACAAAATTCAAAGCCAGCATGTGAATTAAAAAATGATCAAGTTTAATCCCCTACAAATAGAAATATGCAATGTCAATCATCAAAAAAAGGAGTATTGAGCTCTGGGAAGATTATCCTTCAAGGACTTACAGGTAGCTGCCTGTATGTTCCACTATGATGTTCCACGGGGGGAAAAAGTTAAATCAAAAAATTATTAAAATTTAAACAGATTCATAAAAAAATCCCACAAAATTCAAAGCCAGGATGTGAATAAAAAAAACCCAAACAATTACATGAAATGAAAGGCCTAAATGGTTATTTCAAATTAATAACTTCCTCACTGAAACAAAATGTGCCACTTAAAACCACTTGTTACACGACACAAAGGCCTGCAAAAACAAACAAGTAATTTATTTTTTACTGAAAATTATAATCCTTTGAATTTCGTTATAAGCACTAACATTAAGATCACCTATAAATATAATCTCTGAAACTAATGATTGAGTCATTGTTGGGTCCGAGTTGGTCGTGCTTGGGTCCGAGTTGGTAGTGGGTCCGAGTTGGTAGTGGGTCCGAGTTGGTCGTGGGTCCGACTTGGTAGTGGGTCCGAGTTGGTAGTGGTTCCGAGTTGGTAGTGGGTCCGAGTTGGCGTGGGTCCGAGTTGACATGGGTCCGACTTGGCATGGGTCCGACTTGGTTTGGGTCCGAGTTGACCTGATACCTTGATGTTTACGTGCTGAACCGGCGCGGCAGATTTTGACAGGTCGTCAAGTTTTGTTAGCATTTTTAGCAATTTCTCTGTCATCACTGGTGGTTTACAGCTCATAATCAAGCACGATGTCGGCCATTAAGGGAACAGGAACGATACACGAAGTCGAGAGTTTGGTAGGCCTTTGTCTAAATTGTAAAACTGTCTAAATTTGAATTCCCAATCGAAAAGAATGTATCCAGACGCCGCTTCTTTGGTCGTGTACAGCCTCGCATGTACACGTATGTATGCACTGGACTTGTGCGCTTTCTTGCAAATCACGCAATATTACATGTATAAGAATGAGCGCGCATTCTTAAGAAAGTGCGCGCGTTCTTAAGAATGAGCACGCGATTTGAAGAATGAGCGCTCATTCCTAAGATTGCATGGGAATATCAGTGATCACGTGCCCAATGAAAATTATGAATTTTGCGCAATCTTAACATACATTGCATGGCAAGGCTATAGGCCTAGGCCCTAATTATGTTAAGTAAAATGTATAGCCGTTACAGGGGAAATAATTCATATAACGAGGAAAGAAAATGATGTATGCTTCTGTACTCGTATAACTACGATAATTTGAATCAAATTAGGCCTAAACCTGTTATTATTGCTTTTTTGCCCACTATGGCCTTTTTGTATGGGAAGTTTTGTAATAATGGAGTACATGGGAACTAGTCTGGGAAGTGCGTGTGTTGTTTAGGCTAGACAAGTTACTGTCTCTATTTGTATCATATGCATGTCACAAAAAAAAAAACGATGTCCAGACGGTAGCCCCACTAGTGTGGCCGCAGTATGCTGCGCTGAACCTCTGGCCACACACCGTGGTACCGCACACTACTGAGGGCGTTTTCGTAAAAATTGCGGTCCGTTTCTTACATATGATTGTATTCTATGATGTCTATGGGAAACCAATCTTGGTAATCTCACTTGCCAGGAGGCATGGGATCACTTCAAGGAAGAATACGATCAGACGGTAGAGGCAAATATACCAGAGAGGAGAAGGAAGAGGAAGAAACCACCATGGCTGAAGTCCGGGGTGAAGAAGTCAATCAAGAAGAAATACAAGCTCTTCCAGAGATACAAGGAAACAAGGAGGTATAAAGATTATGTAGAGTATACAAGGCAGAGCAATCAGACCAAGAAAGTTGTTAGAAGAGCACAGGTAGACCACGAAAGGAGATTGATGAAAGAATTCAAGAAGAAGCCCAAAGCTTTCTATAGCTATGTAAGATCGAAGCAGAAAGTAAGAGTTGGGATATCTCAGCTAGAAAAGCAGGATGGTAGCTTGTCGCAGAATGACATAGAAACAGCAAACATTTTGAACGACTTCTTCAAAAGTGTGTACACCAGAGAACCCGAAGGGGAGCCTCCAAGACTCCAGCCTCGTAGGACAGACATGGAAGACCTGGTACAAGCTAGCTTTACCCTAGAGGATGTCATCAAGAAGCTTGAAGATCTAAAACCAGACAAGTCACCAGGAATTGACAAGATCCACCCTCAAGTCTTGAGAGAGTGCAGAATGGAAATGGCAACGCCTCTGTATCTTATCTTTAAGAAATCGATTGCAGAAGAAACCATCCCTGAAGACTAGAGACGTGCAAAGGTTGCTCCTATCTTTAAGAAAGGATCCAAGATCCAAGCTGGAAACTACCGCCCAGTAAGCCTTACCAGTGTTCCATGTAAAGTGATGGAGTCCTTAGTTAGAGACTCAATTCTCAGCCATATCTCAAAGTATGAGCTCTTATCCAAAGACCAACA